ATGGGTCTTCCTAAATCAGAGGGGAAAGAGTATGAATTTGCTTGTTGTCTTGGAAAAGAACCTAAACTCTTATCTAAAGTTTAGAACATCACATGTGTCTCCTAAACTGTGTCTTTGGTCCTCACCTGCCTTCCAAAGGTTCAGGGCTTCATGTCAAACTGATTTCTTGGCATCTTCACCTGAAATCTCCACAATGCCTCACAGTCAGTTACAGCAAAAGCTGAGAACACTATCCCCTCCTCAAAGCTTTCTACTCCTCTTACATCTCTCATGTCCATGGAAGAAGCTACCACCTTCCTAATCAGCAAGAAGGAAGGGCTTGCGCCTCACCAGGCACTCCCTCTCCATCACCCGCAACAGGCAATCATGCACTCAAGTCTCTCCAGTTCTACCTTCCTGGCACCTCTCTTAGGTTCTACAAATGCACATTCACTTTTAAAACAGAAAATCTTTTGTGTTTGTTTGGTGAGACTCTTTATGTAGCCCTGTAACTCATGATGTAGACTAGGCTGGTCTTGAACTCACAGAGACCCGCCTGCCTCTGCCTCCCAACTGCTTGGACTAAAGGCATGTGCCACCATGTGTGGCAAAACAGAAGACCTTTACAATATAAGTCCTATGTGTCAATTAGATAGTTGACATGGTCTGACTCATTGCTGGTCTGAATCTCTCTGCTCTGTTCTCTTTTCAGGTAATTAGAGTGCTTTCATAGTTTTCAAATAAGACAATGATTTTTTAAGTTTTTTAATGTATTTCGTTAGGGGCCTGGAGAGATTGCTCAATGGTTAAGAGCACCGACTGCTCTAGCAGAAAACCTGGATGCAGCTCCCAGCACCCACAGGGCAGTTGGCATTCATCTCTAGCTCCAGTTCAGAGGGATCCCAACTCCCTCTCCTGACCTCTGCTGGCATGACACACACAAAGGGCACAAATAAGCCTGCAAACAAAACATCCATACACATAAAATTAAAAAATAATAATACAATGTTCTGTGGTCTGACTTTCCTTGGGACTACCAGCCCCAAATAATGACACAGAGACTTAATATTTATTATGAAAGCTTGGTCTTTAGCTTGGGCTTGTCCCCAACTAACTCTCATAACTTAAATCAACCTGTTTCTATGAATCTACATTGCCATGTGGTCCTTCACCTCTCCTCCATTCTGTAAGTCCGACCCCCTCCATGTCACATGGACCTAGATTCATCCCAAGTTCCTCTCTCTGCTAGAAAGTCCCACCTTACCTCTCCTGCCTGGCTATTAAATGAGTCCCTACTAGATGCCAGACCCTGGGCTGAGTATTGACAATAGAGTCGTTAAACAAAATGTGCAGACCCCACACCCTCCAAGGCTTTCCAATTCCCAATGTGATAAGTCGTGGTCAAGCACAAGGGCCTAAGAGAGCTCCAGAGGTCAGCGGTGTTGCCAACTCTCACGGTTTAAATGACATGTCACCCACAAGCCTTGGGCCCCTAGCTGGCGGCACAGTCTTTAGGAGGTGAAGTCATGTACCTGAAGAAACTGCTCACCCTGCTTGCTGTCTTCTCTCTGTCGTTGCTCTTTTCTCGGCCAAGCCACGGGCAGGTAAAGAGTCCCGGCTGCAGGCTCCCGTTGCCACAGGGCTGCGCAGGTGTAGGGGCTCCACCATGATGGACTGTGTCCTGTGAAACCATATACCAAACAATCCTTCAGTCATAGAGAAGGGGGAAAATGGCCAATACAACTGAATCCAGAAAACTAAGGAAAGGCTCAATCGTCCGTAATCTACCTATAACCAACAGGTATGGCTCCACATACCAAACCAACAACTCTGTCTGAATTGTTTCATTTAAACATCACAACTCCTTGGAGTTAGTGCTATTATTACTAGACCCACTTTACAGATAAAGAAACTGAGACCTATATGGGTTAAGTAAATTGTGGAGTTGAGATTTGATCCCAGGCTCATTTGAGACCAGATAGTTGCCACATGAACAGGAAGTCTATGCTTCTCCTTTATCTGATGTGGTCCTACTAGTACATGCTCTCCCATATAGACCCCTCATGGACCAGCCATTGCCTTATCTGTGCATGAGTCGTGTTTCAAAAGCACCCTCTTAGTCTTTAGAGCACTTGAGATTCTTGCCTGATGGTGTCTCTCTAGGAATCTATAAATGTTGTGGAATTACAATTTATTGACTTCTATAATCTCAATAATTTGTGCTGTTCTTTGCATTCCAGTGCTGAAGGAAAAAAAAGGAAGAGGAAATGAGGGAGAAGGAGGAAAAGAATGAGAGGGGAAGAGGAAGGAGAAAAACAAAAGGTGAAGATAGTCGTGTTCACAGATTCTCTATAAGACATCCCAATGCACATGCTTCTCTGCAAGAACCTTGATCTACCCCAACACAGTAAAATCAATCCTAGCAACAACCCCGATAACTTTCCATTTAAGGGCTACTCAATGAACGCTCATAAAATTCCTCTGGGTGCTTCTTGTCTATGATAATTTGAATGAAAATGGCCCCTATAGGCTCCCGTATTTGAATACTTGAGCCCCCGTTGGTAAAACTGTTCAGGAAGGATTAGGAGGTGTGGCCTTGTTGGAGGAGGTGTGTCACTGCAGGTGAGCTTCGAGGTTTCAAAACTCCATGCCATTCCCAGTGTTTCTCTCTGCCTCCTACCCACAGATAAGGATGTAGACTCTCAGCTGTTTCTCCATGCCTGCCTGCTACCATGACGGTCGTGGGCTTCCCCACTGAAGCTCCAAGCCCCAGTAACCTTTCTTCCATAGGTTTCCTTGGTCATGGTGTCTTATCACAACAATAAAAAGTAACAGGACATGATCTGTCTTGGGCCGCTTTCTCTTCTCCTGTGCGCTCTCTCCTCTCTTTCCTATCAAGCTATGCCCATGCTAGAGGACCATGCAGAAAAGATGAGTCAGAGACAAAACTGAAACTCAAAGGAGGAAAACTAAAGCCTTATGCCACAAGTTAAACAGCAGAAAGCCACCAGGAAATTGAAGAACAGAAAGTGCCTGTGAATGCATACCCTTTACCTTAGAGACTGCCCACAGGCCAACAGTCTTTTTTTGTTTTGTTTTTTCTGTCTTAGGTTTTCTAGACAAGCATCAAAGCACTATAGCAGAGAGCTTTAAGTTTCCAGATCCCCAGCTGTGTTTTACATAATGCGAACTTATTGAGCAACATTTGAATGGCTGTCTGGATCAAGCCCATTGTCCGCTTTCACCAGACATCGAAACTATGGGCCAGTTAGGGAGGGGCTTCTGCAAGAACATGAGTAGGATTGGATGGCAATGGGCAACAGCCAACCAGCCAGCAAAACAAAGCAAAAGCAAAACCTGAGAAGTGATTTTCGTGATTCTGGAGTCGAGAGGGCATTAGCCTAAAGCAGTGGTCAGCAGGTCCCCTTGGCAGTCCCAGAGGGCATTAGCCCAAAGCAGTGGTCAGCAGGTCCCCTTGGCCGGCCCTACTCCACTCAGCCCCGGCTGAGCCTCATTTGTCCCACTTGAATTGCTCACCCAAGTCAGGTGAGAGCTGTCCAGAACCTACTGGGGGGAACAGCCCTACCAAACAGAGTCATTTGATTTCTTTTGTCTGGGGGTTGAGTTGATGCTACTGTCAAACACTTGGCTTTGTTAAAGGGAGGTTGGGGGAGAACAATGTGTGACTGTTTCAGGAAGGAGGTGGGAATGAGAAGATGTTAACCAGTTTTACCACTTCCTGTTCGTCCGCCCTCCATGTTTTCTGTTGAGGAACCCTACGCTCAGACCATTTGACCTGTCGACCAGCCCAGGCCCAGAGAACGGTTAAAGACAAAAGTACCCTGGGCTACTGTGGTGAGCACAGCCACAGCCCCATTAGCGTTGCCATGGGATGAGCAACCTCCTCTGCGACATGTCCCCCCACCACGGTGTTCCGCCTTATCACAGGCTTGACACACAGCCAAGTGACTGTGGACTGGACCTCTGGAGCCCTTTGAGGCTCAGCAGAAAAATCCACTCAGCATGGTGGCGTATCAAATAGGGGTGCCTCTATGTCCTTCAGTCCTTGACTGGACACTTAACTGTGACAGCAGCTGCAATGTCTGGGGCTCAGCACCAGTAGCTGCTGCCTCATCCAGAAACCAGCTGCCAGGTCCCCACAACTCACATCTTCACCTCGGCTTTTCACAAAAGAAGTGTGCATGCTTGGAGTACTGACTGATTCCTTTGTACAATCAACAGACTCATACGAAGGAAAAAATGTTTAAGGAGTTCTTGTCCTGGCCCCACGTTTCTGTGATTCTCTCAGCCTCCCGCTGTTTTCTCCTTTTTCCAGAACATTCCTTTCTTCCTGTGCAATTTCCTTCAAAAACTCAAAACAACAACAACGAAAAGGGAATTTAGTGATCAAATTCACACTAAGAAGTTGGTAACTCCTTTGGATTATGTACCCGGGGTGGACATTTTGAAAGAAACTGTAGATTAACATAACATTGAAAAGAGATACTAATACATTGAAAAGTTTAAATCTCTATCTAATATGTAAATACATATTTATATATTTTTATATATGCAGTCAGGCCCTGGGATGGATGCGGGCCAGGCAGGGGAGTAATAAATTCTGAGAGAGCCAAGGGAACCCTGGGACATGGCCCTCGCTGTGAAGGCCACCATCAGGTCACGCTGTCCCATTCTTGGCTCTGGGTGCCCTGAGACTGCCAGAAGTACCCTCTTCTAGAGTCTGTGTGTCCCCCAAGGTGCTCAGCTGTGACAAACAGAAAACAAGTGGGCCCACCCCCCTTGGTATCCTCTCTAGGCGCTCTCCCTCCTGTTCCTGCCTTGTCACAGGGCTCTCTGCATTAGGAATCAGATGATGTTTCTGGAAAAAGAAACTAGTGAGAGAGACCATGGGGGTGGGGGATGACAGACTTTGGAGAAAGGCTATTTACTTCCTCTCTTCTAGTCAAATAGGTCCCTTAAGGGTTCCGGATATCTGTGGTGACATTTTCTGTCTAGTGCTGCAGCATGTGGCCGCTACTACTCCCAACAGCTCTGCTGCTCATAGGTAAGTGGGGCTCAGTCTAGATGAAGGTAAAGCTTACCATGGTCTTTGTTCAGCAGAGACCTCCCCCCTTGTCAGGTCAGGGATGGAATCCTCACCAGGGGCCTATCATACTTAACTCCTAAGACAGATTGTTGGAGATATACAACACCCAGGCTCTGATCTGTACTTCAGCAGGAGCGGGCTGTGAGTTCACCCATCTGGGTTTCCATTTCCCTAAGTATAAACCAAGGAGCAAGAACCAGGTGGTTCCTAAGATTTGTGTCTTCCGGTCTGACACCCCAGGTTTCCCTTTTTGTTTCTTCTCTTTCCAGGTAGGGTTTAGGTGTAAAGTTTCTGTGGCTTGATTTAGGGAAACGCAATCTTTATTTTTAACCTGACAGTTTGAATGAGGAACAGGATAAAGGAAACAGTATCAGAAACGAGGATCTGAGTTTCCTGCAGGACAGGTCCAGGGCATTGGAGGAGAGAAGGAACCTTCTGGAGCAAAGATGGGAGGGAGTTGCCCTGCTGAACGTCTGATTCATGCTTTTTTATTTCCTTGCAGTTTCCTCTGGCATTCGAGCTGGTGAGTTTGCTTCAGGGTCTTAGATTGATGGAGTGAGGCACATACAAAGGCCACAGAAATTTGGGAAAGGACCACTGTGTGGTTGGTGTCTGGCATGCCTGGGGGATAGAAGCAGTTCCCTAACACAGTCGGGACGCATCTCTGGCCTGTTTTTCCCCAACTACAGAAAGGGTCAACAATGGCGCTGAGGGCTTCCCTGCCTGGCTGCCGTAAGAACGAGTCATAGACAGCCTGAGAACACTACGGGTTTGTTTACTCTTCCTGTGTTACCTTGGGTATGCCCGTGAAGAGCTCACTTGTCTGTGTCTCTTCATCAGGTCTCCGGAAGGCTGTGGTGACCCTACACCCTGAATGGGTGAGGGTGCTTGAGGAAGACAGTGTGACCCTCAGGTGCCAGGGCACCTATGCACCTGGGGACAATTCTACCAAGTGGTTCCATAATGGGAGTCTCACCTCACAACAAGATACCAACTATGTCATTGGATCTGCCAAAGTTAAGGACAGTGGAGAGTATAAGTGCCAGACAGCCCTCTCCACCGCCAGTGACCCAGTGAACCTAGAAGTCCATATAGGTGAGTAGAAGGGGAGAAAAGGGGCCCTGAATTACTTGGGGAAAGCCCTACGGTCTGGGTTAATGTGGAAGTGAGGTGATAAGTGTCCCATCAGATGGGAACAGAACTGTAGTGCTAGCTGTAAGTAAGCCCTAAGCAAGCATCAAGGCCTGTCTTGTGAAACACACGGGATGGGAACATTGAAGGATTCCAGGAACTGGCATGTTCACAGAATACATACAGCATGGATATGTGTTCTGAGGTCAGGCATGTTCCATGGCATCCATTAGTTAGACTGATGAATTTGTTCTTAGATCTCATTTTCCTTCTCATTCTCACATATTATACTCGGTCCTCCTCAGTGTCAGATCCTTAATCGTCTGCTACCACATCACTTCATGTCTGTCTGTACTATCTTCCCATCAATGCCATGCTGAAACTCACATGTTAACACACGCTGGAGCCTTCCAGTGGTGCCACACCTGGCATGGCTCCAGGGAGGGCCCTGATTAGGGAGGAAAGAAAGCATGAACCCACATGGACACACAGAAAAACTGGGATCCAATGGACTGGGCTCTCTGATGGAGAAACCGCTGCACCCAGGAAACTGTTCGTTTGTTACATACAGTAGAACAGGGAGTGGGCTTTTTGCATACAGCTAAAGAAGGAATCTGGGTTATTACACACAGATAAGCAAGGAGACAGGAGACGGGATTCTTGCTATATACAGATGAGCAAGGAGGCAGGTATAGAGACAGTCTCTGCAGCTCTCTTCAGGCCATAAACATCCAGGGAGAGAGGGCTAGGGTGCACATTTCCACACACACCGTCAACATCTACACCCAGACCATCCTTCTAAGTCTTGCCCTTAGGGAAGGTTTTGCCATTTTCCCACGGATCTGAGGCTCTGGAGACCTCAGTCGGTTATGTGGAGGTGTCTACACACTCATCCTCTGCATTTATCATAGGATGGACATGTCTGTGTCAGTTAGCAACATCCTGGTATCGCAAGTGGGTAAGAGAATTTCAGCATAGATGGAAGAGGCTCTACAGTAGGGTCCTGTTAAATTAGGCTCCTTTGCCTCTAGCTATACCACCTAGCAACATGGCTCTCACTCTGCAGAGCCAAAAGTAGGAATATCAATAGTCTTGCTGGGTGATGGCTATCTAAGAGTGAATGAAGTGGGCAATTACTGAGAGGAAGCAATAGGAAAATCAAGTCTCAGGGCTGGGGGGTGGCTCAGTGGTTTAGCAGGTGCTTGCTGCTAAGCCTGAGTTCAGTTCCCAGAAGCCCCAGGACGGAAGGAAAAAAACCCACTCCTGTAAGTTGTCCTTCGATCTCTATAAACATGATATGGTACACACACACACACACACACACACACACACACACACACACACACACACACGCGCGCACACACGTACATTTTTTAAAAAAGAAAAATCAAGGATATGGCATTGTAGCTCATGCTTTTAATACTAACATTCATGAGGCAGAGACAGGAGGATCTCTGTGAGTTTGAGGCCAGCCTGGTCTACATAGTAAGTTCCAGAACACCCAGAGCTACATAGTTGACACCCTAACTAAAAAAAAAAAAAAAAATCTTAAGGCTAATGGTTCCTAGTCTGCTTTGACCTTGCTCTAGAAGTGGGCGCTGGACATCTAGTTAACAAGACCTGCATGAGGCTGCAACTGTCAGCATTCAGTTTGCCAGGAAAGGAGCTGGAGAGATGGTTCAGTGGTTAAGAACAGGGACTGCTGTTTCAGAGTACCCTGGTTCAATTCCCAGCACCCACATGACAGCTGACCTATAACTCTAAGATCTGACCCTCTCACACAGACATACATGTGTATATAAAAAAAAGAATAAATAAGTAAGAAAAAACAAAGATATTCACCAGGAGAACCCAGATTCTCCATAAGACCAGTTCCACTTGTGCTCATGCTCCGTACCTTCTCTGGGTAGTTTTTTTTTATTCTAAAATCATTGGCTCTATAGTCCCTTTCTCTTAGCCCACTATAGAACTTACCACACTGAAGTACAATGAATACTTCAGAGCCTATGTGTTTCTAAGTCCTAGACTTACCACACTGCAGTACAATGAATACTTCAGAGTCTATGTGCTTCTAAGTCCTAGACTTACCACACTGCAGCACAATGAATACTTCAGAGCCTATGTGTTTCTAAGTCCTAGACTTACCACACTGCAGCACAATGAATACTTCAGAGTCTATGTGTTTCTAAGTCCTAGACTTACCATACTGCAGTACAATGAATACTTCAGAGCCTATGTGTTCCTAAGTCCTAGACTTACCACACTGCAGTACAATGAATACTTCAGAGTCTATGTGTTTCTAAGTCCTAGACTTACCACACTGCAGCACAATGAATACTTCAGAGTCTATGTGTTTCTAAGTCCTAGACTGTAGGTTCTGTGAGGTTAGGAGACAGACATAACACCTTACTCATCTGAAAATTCCCAGTGTAAAATGTATGTCACATGTTTGTTGAATAAATATATGTGTATCTGCTTATTAGTTATGTTCACAGCAAGATAAACACAACAGGAATAGTCCCCCGCCATTGTAGTGAAGTTTACCTGACCCCAGCTCTTGGAGGCAGAGCAAGAGGATCCAGGGGCATGAGACCATCCTAGGCTGTATCAAATAAACTCAAGGCAACATGAGACTCTGTTAAAATAAATAAATAAATAAACTATTTTAATAAAAGAATGTTACCCTAAACACAAAGCTATATCCCCATATCAATCGCAATCTTATGCTAATCACAATGCATTCCTTAGGTGAAAAAGAAGCTAACTAGGCTGGGGATTGGTCATGCCTTTAATCCCAGCACTGGGCAGGCAGATCTCTGTGAGTTCAAGACCAGCCTAGTCTACAAGAGCTAGTTCCAGGACAGTCTCCAAAGCCACAGAGAAACCAGGGTTCTTAAAAAAAAAAAAAAAAAAAAAAAAGAAGCTAAATAGGCATGGGGTATTTTGATAACCAATGCCAATATATCTTGTTTATTTATAGTTTTTGTTTGTTGTGGCATTTCTTTCTATTTTTAATAGTAAGTACCATATATTCAGAGTTGCCTGGAACTCATCATGTAGTCTAGTCAAGCCTTAAACTGTTTTTCTTGCTTCTGCTTCTTGTACACCGTCTTTGCTGATGAAGACCTACCTTATTAAATATTAGAAATTGCCCTCCGGCCCGGGCAGTGGTGGTGCACACCATTAATCCCAGTGCTCGGGAGGCAGAAGCAGGCAGGTTTCTGTGCATTCCAGGCCAGCCTGGTCTACAGAGAAAGTGCCAGGATAAGTTCCAAAGCTACACAAAGAAACCCTGTCTCAGGGGAAGAGAGAAAGAAAGAAAGAAACAAACAAACAAACAAAGGAAAAGAAACTGCCCTCTGTTTGGCAAGTCTTCCTGGTAAAGAATCTCCACCAAAATGTTCTACCAATTTTGTTTAGTACTGGACAGTAAAATTTAAAAGCCACCAGATATTTTACTTTGTTCTTACTATAAACATCATTAGGGTTGTATTTCAGAAATAAATAAGAAGTAAAATATCTTAATGCTCTCTGGTCCTCCCCCAGGGAAATTGCGTGTTAATCTTCAAAACTGCATGGTTCTTTTTCTGTGCACCTGGCATTATCCCATTAATATTTCCACCTGCTACCTATTCTTATCCAACACAGGTCATTTTCTCCCCAGGTCCCCTCCAATCTTGACGTCACATTCTCTCTGTGGAATCTGATTACTGGAGGTGACTGTGAGAGCAGCATCCTGGTGGTCATTTTCCTCTTGAAAGTCATGCTCAGTCATGGTCTGCCTGAGGCCCATGGCCCGTCAGAAACCAGACCCTGCCAGCCGACATTCACCTCTCCCTCCCGCCCCATCTTCCTCCTCCCTTCCTCCCTCCCTTCCCCCACTACCCTCCTTCTGACTTTTACACTGAGGGCTCCCTGTAACCCCTTCCATGGACGCTGGTCTCCTCAATGCTGGCTGCAGAAAGGGTCTCTCAATATCTGCAACTGTCTGTCTTTTGATTTTTTTTTCTTACTTTTTTATTTAAGTTAGAAACAAGCTCCCTCTCCCTCCTCTCCTCCCCCACCCTCCTTTGATTTTTTTTTTATTGTTGTTGTTGTTTTGTTTTGTTTTTTTGTGACAGGGTTTCTCTGTTTTGTTTTGGAGCCTGTCCTGGAACTTGCTCTGTAGATCAGGCGGGCCTCGAACACACAGAGATCCGCCTGCCTCTGCCTCCCGAGGGCTGGGATTAAAGGCATGCACCACCAATGCCTGGCTTGCCTGGCTTTTGAAATCTAAACTTTTTTTTTAAGTGGAGAAAGCACTTTTTTTTTTTTTTTGAGATAGGGTTTCCCTGTGCAACAGCTCTGGCTATACAGGAAGTCACGTTGTAGACCAGGCTTGCCTGAAACTCACAGAGCTCTTCCTGCCTCTGTCTCCTGAGTGATGATGGGACTAAGGGGCGTGTGCCACCGCTGCTGGACTAGAAAGCCATTTTTAAATGTAATTTTTCCTTTTGGTTTAGAAAAACTATGAGTCTTTATTACCGGCCAAAGCCCAGCACATAGGGTTCCTGCAGACACCCTCAACTTTGCTTCTTGCCTCCCCCATTCTTAGTTCATTCTAATCCCTGTGCATGTGCGTGTGTGCGTGCGTGCATGTGTGTGTGCGTGTCCCTTTTCTCCCTTAAACAAAAGGTCATGGTGTGACATGAGGCACAGTGTAGGACAATCCTCAGTCTGATTCTGTTGCGTCCAGGATGGAGCAGTTCAGAGTTTCCCCTTCAGAAGAGGTTTGCACCAGAGTTTGGTCCCCGGCTCTAAGATCCCTATGTCTTTCAGGCTGGCTGTTGCTTCAGACCACTCAACGGCCTGTGTTCCAGGAGGGGGACCCCATTCGGCTGAAATGCCACAGCTGGAGAAACAAAACTGTATATAAGGTCACCTATTTACAGAACGGCAAAGGCAAGAAGTATTTCCACAAGAATTCTGAACTCTACATTCCAAACGCTACACAGAATCACAGTGGCTCCTACTTCTGCAGAGGGCTCATTGGACAAAACAACAAGTCTTCAGAGACCTTGAGAATCATTGTGGGAGGTGAGAGAGAGCTCTCCAGAACTTTTACAATGCACTAGGGTTTTATATTATTATCATCATTACTATTGAGTTTTATATTGTTATTTATTATTACTATTATTGTATGTGTGTGTGTGTGTGTGCACTTGTGTGCATGTTACAATGAACTTGTGGAGGAGGCCAGAAGACAGCTTTTAGGAGTCAGTACTCTTATTATTCCACCACAGGAGTCCTGAGGATTGATGAACTAACCAAGGGGGTCAGGACTGGCAGCAAGAGCCTTTGCTGGCCTTTTCTGGTTTTTGTTTCATCTTAACCTGGCAGAGATAAGGAGGACCTATTGCACTCTCAAAGGGTGTCTTAGTTACTTTTATGTTGCTGAGAAGGCACACCATGACCAAGGACTTATAAAAGAAAGTGTTTAACTGGAGGTTGGCTTACAGTTTCAGAGGTGGAGTCCATGACCTTCGTGATGGGGAGCATGGCAGCCGGCGGGCATGGCGCTAGAGTAGTAGCTGAGAGCTCATGTCTCCTCCACGAGCTGCCTTTCACGGAGTAGGCCAAGAGTAGGGGAGACTCGGCATGGTGTGGCCTTTTGAAGCCCACCCCCAGAGATATACCTCATCCAACAAGACCACACCTACTAATCCTTCCCAAAACAGTTCCACCAACTAGGGAACAACCAGGCTCATTCAAATACATGTGCCTTTGGGGACCATTTTCATCTAACCCACCACAAAAGGTGGTAGGGGAAAGACCAAATGCTGAGACAAGACAAATGCAAAAAAACTGGAGAATCTAAGTAAAAGACATACGAGAGTTCTTTATGCTATCAAGGTAAATTTGTTCATAGATTAAGACTGTGTCAAAATTTAAAGTTAAGGCACTGGAGAGATGACTCAGCAGTTAAGAGCACTAGATGCTCTTGCAGAGGACCTGGGTTCAATTCCAAGCACCCACAAAGTGTCTCACAACCATCCATAACTCCAGTTCTGTGGGATCTGATGCCTCTTCTCACCTGCCAGGGCACTACATATACCCAGGCACACATACATAACAAATTAAATATTTTTAAAGTAGAAATTAAAACTGGACTAAGTGTGTTGGCACTCACCTTTTAGTTTTTCAAGACAGGGTTTCTCTGTGGCTTTGGAGGCTGTCCTGGAATTAGTTCTTGTAGACCAGGCTGGCCTTGAACTCACAGAGGTCCACCTGCTCTGCCTTTCAAGTGCTGGGGTAAAGGCGTGCACCACCAATGCCTGGGGGCAGTTGCCTTTAATCCCAGCACCATAAACTAGAGGCAAGTGGATCTCTATGAATTGGAGGCCAGCCTGATGTACATGAGTTTCAGGCCAGCTAGGGCCACACAGTAAAAGACCCTGTTTCAAACAAGCAAGCAAGCAAATGCAACTGGGCTGGGGAGCTAGCTTAGTTCATCTTAAAGTGCTTGCCTCTCAAACACCGAAGGCCTAGAGCCACAAAGCAATGCCAGGTGTGGCTAGCACACCAGTAATCCCAACCCGACATTGGGAACGCAGAGACAAGGGTCCCAGGGCACTCCCATTTACCCAAGTGGTAAACTTCAGGCCAATGAGAGACTCACAGTTTGTTTTCTGTTGTTGTGATAAATGCCATGACCAAAAACAACTTGGAGGAGGGAAGGATTTATTTCAGTTTATACTTCTAGGTCATGGTCCATCATTGAGGGAAATCACAGCAGAAAACATGGAAGAACACTGCTTACCCCCTTGCTCTCTGCCTCATACTCGGCTTGTTTTCCTATATAGTTCTCCTGCCTAAGAATAGTGTCCATATAGACCTATCTGCCTAGGAATGGTGTGGCCCACAATGGACTGGCCTTCCCACATCAATCATCAATCAAGACAATTTCTTACAGACATTCTGACTTAGGCAATTACTCAACCGAGGTTCCCTTTTCCCTGGTGACCCTAGGTTACATCATATTGACAGTAAAAAATTAACCAAAACATCATCTAAAGGAAGTAAACAGAATTCCTTCCTTCCTTCCTTTCTTTTTTGTTTTTCAAGACAGAGTTTCTCTGTATAGTCCTGGCTACCCTAAAACTAGCTCTGTAGACCAGGCTGGCCTTGAACTCAAAGATCCACCTGCCTCTGCCTCCCAAGTGCTGAGATTAAAGGTATTCGCCACCACTGCCCATCTGTGAACAACATTTCTGAGGATGATAGCCAAGGTTGTCCTCTGATCTCCATATGGATGCACACACAAACACATACACACATATAAACTCATATGCACTCGCTTATACCCATGCATACATACAAAGTGCACACACAGACATACAAATGCATGAGCATACAAACACACACATACTGCATCATAAAATTTTTAATTGAGCCCAGGGCTAGAGAGATTGGTTAAGAGCACTGGCTGCTCTTCTAGAGGACCTGGGTTTGACTCCCAGCATCCACATGGTGGCTCACAATTGTAACTCCAATTCCAGGGGATCCAACACTCTTTTCTAGCCTTTGTGGTCACCAAGCATGAACCTGATGTCCAAACACATAAAATTAAAATTAAAAACATTTAAATAAGTAAAATATTGAGTTGGATTTGGTGTTGCACATCCTTAATAGCAGCACTCAGGAAGCAGAATCAGGTGGATATCTCTGAGTGTGAGGACAGTCTGGTTTACACATCGAGTTCTAGACCAGCCAGGGTTACTTAGTGAGATGCTGTCTTTAAAAATTAACCAAAAGGGCCGGGCGTTGGTGGCGCACGCCTTTAATCCCAGCACTCAGGAGGCAGAGGCAGGCGGATCACTGTGAGTTCGAGACCAGCCTGGTCTACTGAGCGAGTTCCAGGACAGCCTCCAAAGCCACAGAGAAACCCTGTCTCGAAAAAAAAATTAACCAAAAGAAGAAGAAGAAGAAGAGAAGGAAGAAGAAAGAAAGAAAGAAAGAAAGAAAGGAAAAAAAAACAAATAAACTAAGATGCACAAATTATTCCACTTTCTAGACAACAGTAATAAGACAACTTCTTAACTGTCATGTGACTCCTGTAGACAGCTTACCTTGCCAAACATCCCCTGTTGAGTCACCACCCAACAAGCAGAAGCAGTGACTGAGCGTTTGGCCTGCTGAGCTCACTTAGGCTGCACTAAAATGGAAATTCAGTGGGAGGAGTGAAGAGCTGGCCCAGGCTCTCCCATCTGCTCCTCCTACCTGATTCTTGGCGGGTGTCAGGAACTCTGTCTGGTGGCATTGACCTCATTGTCTATTCCAAATCTCTGCCTTAATGAGAGTCATCTTTCTCATCTCTCCAGTTCTCCCACCTGATCTGACACCTCCATCAAATAACTTTCCACCGTGGCATCAAATCACTTTCTGCCTGCTGATAGGACTCTTGTTTACGATAGACACGGTGCTGTATTTCTCTGTGCAGAGGGGCCTTCGAAGGTCAACGGCAGACTATGAGGAACCCGACTTGCACTGGAGCAAGGAACCTGAGGACAAGTGAGTCTTGATTTCATGGGGTGGTCAGAACAACGATGTGGTGCCTACGGGCCTCTCTGTGGACTTGCAACCTCATCATCTGCATTAGGCATCATGCTTTGAGCAGCAGGGGTAATACAAAGAAAGCCCCCACCCCAACTCAGTTTTCTTTGTGTCCAAAGGACCATCTCAGAGGAAAAGCAAAGCTTCAGATCTTCAAGAGTCAACAGTGAAACACCCTCGGGAGGCAGCCGCCCTCCGGAGAAGTGATGCCTCAGAGTTTGATGCTTTCCCTGTCCCCAACATTCCCTCATTGCAAAGCAGCAGCCTGGGTTCTGGGTGGTGGTCCTTTCTGTGCTTAACAGCTGTTCCTAAATAAACTTCTGAAGAAAAGCGAATGGCTGCATCTGTTCCTTCAGGCATGGTTGCCTTCAGGGAACCCCCAGACTTCTTCCAGAGTGTGGGAAGACCTGGGGGGCCCAGGCAGTGCCCCTGAACTGATGAAGTAGATTGCTAAGAGGCAGGGGAGGGGAGGTCTCACTCCTCCCTGAGCAGCCAGAGCCAGCTGATTTCTGAGAGGAGGGAGGAGGAAGTCCCTTTCTTCTGTCTTGTAGGCTCTGTAAATTCCCCTTGTTCCAGTAATTAACCTACCACCTGTTCTCATACAAGTAACCCAAATTAAACTCAATGGGAAACAAACAAGACATGAAAGAAAGTTGGAGAGGGACTTGTTCAGAAGAAGAGGGGCTTCAGTGGAGTGAGAAGGTAGTGGGGGGTGAGGATTGCCATCATAACCCAGGCACCCCCCAACAAGACAGCAATGCCTGTAGGTTGGTAAAGGGCCTGAAGATGAACTTCTCTGGAGACAGTTTCAATGAATAGTGTCGGGGCCCAAATATGATATTTCGGTGTAGGCCTCAGCTCAATTCCAGGAGCTTGAATCTGCTATTGTCCTTTAGATGTTGGCTGGTTACCTGCTATGGCCTGGCCACGGTGGAGAATGGCTTCTAGTTTGCCTAACAATAGACCTAGGCCCCACACCCATCATGGGGGCTAGTGGGACATGCCTGGGGACCAGTGAGACATACCTAAAGACTTGAGAAGTGCATTATGGGAGGTCTGGGGACTTGTGTACATGCACTCTAGGACCATCTCTAGGGTTAAAGGAAGTGTTTCCTAGTCAACCCTATACACATGAAAATAGATGTCTTCTGCCCGTACCACCCCCCAGCTACCCACCCCACCCCCACCACTTTTAGAAAGCCATTTAAGGGGATGCTTAAATAAACTGGTGTCTCCAGTATGGACTGAGGGCCCTCCTGAAATGACAAGATGTCTCTGTGTCGTTCTTAACACTGTTGGGTAGCTAGGACTTCCCTGATCCACACTCTCCCACTCAGGGTTGAACCCGGGGCTGTTCGACTGGTTCCTAACACAGCCCCAAAGACACCAATCCAAGATAGATGACCACTATAGCATAGGACTGATACAGGCTGGACCCCCGCAGACCAGCATCTGCTTTGTTGCATGTGAAGAGCCACTTACTTATACGGTGGAAACCTACTGACTGCGATTGGTTAGTACAGTACCTCAGATTGCATAGTGAGCTCTCATACCACCAGGGTCTCTATTAGGGAGAATCACATTAAAGGAGACATGGAGAGTGTAAACAAGCCAGCTACCAGCTACTCACATTACTTCAGAATTCGGTGTTCTGACTTCTGGGACAGGGTATGCCATACTTCTTATTTAAAAGTGCATTGTGCCAAGTAGGCTGGCCACCAGATCATACCTGCCTTTTCTTTTACAGAGAATGACCAAAATACATTGTAAACATGTATGAAACTATCAAAGTATTTAGATTTATGTATTTTCATTTGTATGAGTATTTTGCCTTCATGTGTGTATGCACACCACGTATGTGCCTGGTGTTTCCAGAGGTCAGAAGAGGGAGTTACACGTGGTTGTTAGCCACCTTGTGGGTGCTGAGCACTGAGCTCAGTGTCTCCGCAAGAAGTGTTCTCCCAATGAGCCATCCATCCCTCTAGCTCTATGTCAAGTGTGTGTGTGTGTGTGTGTGTGTGTGTGTGTGTGTGTTTTCATTGTAACGAGCAGGGGAGGGAACTCATCAGTAAAGAGCACTTGCTGAATTTGATTTCCAGAACACACAGGCTGGGTCACAACCATCTGTAGCTCCAGTTTTAAGGGATCTCACACCCTCTTCCGACTTCCACTGGCACCAGACACCAAACACAAATGTAGTGTGTATCTGTACGCAGGCAAAACCCTCATATACATTAAATAAATCTAAAAAAGAAAAAGAGAGCAGGGGTGCCTAGGGCAGCCAGGAAGACATCACCGTCTGAGCCCAGAGATAAGGTTATCTGCCTGGACCAGTGAGGTCTAAGTGAGGTCATAAGTTGCACGTGTGACATCAGCTTGAGTTGTCCTGAGGCGTCTCTACCAGAATTGGGATGGTCTCAGAGCATGTCATAATGAAATGTCTTTATGAGTGGGCCAGGGGCATCAGTCAGTTCTGAGCCACCGAGGGGTGGGGTAGGGTTGAAAGGAAAGCAGCAAATGACCCACCCGTGTTGAATGAGCAAATATACAGCACAAGTTCCCAGAAAGGTGAAGACGGTTCTGTTGACCAAAGGTGTCTTAGTAAAAATCAGAAAAACTCAGCTTTTCTGTTTCTATGACCCTTCCCAGAATACATGATTTTAGTCACATGCATATGGTGCCTAAGCATATGATGGTAAGTAGGAGAGTCTCCCTAAAAGGTTGCCAAAGGGCATGTACCCCAAACCAGTTCAGGTTGGGACTATTCTTCTGCTCTTCATACCATGCTCTTGGTTTTTTGAGACAGGGTTTTTCTCTGTGGCTTTGGAGGCTGTCCTGGAACTCGCTCTGTAGACCAGGCTGGCCTCAAACTCACAGAGATCCACCTGCCTCTGCCTCCCGAGTGCTGGGATTAAAGTTGTGGGCCACCAACGCCTGGCCATACCATGCTCTTGAATAGTAGTAGAAACTATTAATTTGGTTGTTGCCAGGGGTAGGGAGACAAGTTATTTTTCAGAGATGGAATATGTATAGCCCAGTGCAGGTTGAGTGTGGGAGGGTTATGACATTGCTCCAAGCATTGTTTGGGGAAGGGTATGTGTGCCGGAGTCATTCAGGTGGAGAAACTAGTCTGCCTCTTGCATTATAGCAAGAATGAGTGTAGTAAACCAAGACCAGGGTAGCAAAATGTCTCCTGTGCTTGCCTTCCTCACTACAAAGGGCCAGCAGTGATCGTGGGGGCTGCAAAGAGCACATGAAGAACTCGGTTTCCTCCTGGGTCGTCCAGAAGCTTCGGTTCCAGCCAGCTAAACAGGAGGGCGGGCAGCTAGTGGGGAGGTGGAGGAACCCTGCAGAGAAGGCTCGTTCTGGGTGAAGGCATGAAAGGCGAAGAAAGAAAGAAGGTGGAAGTGCAGGCCAAAGTATTAAAAATCAAACTGGGTTTAGGAGATGAAGTTTTTGGGGTCTAAAAGAGGCAGTGAGGGAGACCGGGGAGTGTTGGAGGGGTTGGATTCTGAGGCCACTCGCTATAAGACCTTGCTGTCCGAGCTTAAAGAGATGGCATCGGATGGCGCCAGGTATTGAGGGAGTTGACGCTGATCGGGTGCTCGGGTACGGAGTTTCCAGATTCTGGGGCAGCTACAGGAGCCGAGAATTAAAGGACGGAGAAAGGGAACCCCTCGAGGTCCTACCAGATGGGGTTGAGATTAAGGAGGAAGTAAGGAGTGGTAGCCGGGAGGGATTGGGGAGTCAAGAAACCCAGGCACAGTTTCCTCGGGACACATACAGAAGTCGTCTTCGGATCATGAGGACTGAACGTCCAAACTCCCACAAAATGTCTGCTTTCCGATGTAACGTCAGCCGTGAAACTGCAAGCTTAACTGCGAAAACAAAAGACAGCTCCATAACACGTGGGCCGAGGGGTTTATAACCCCAACATTAAGAATGTCAGGATCCAGCCGGTTACGCTGAGAAATGTAGCTTTGAGCTCCGAGATTCGACACATTTCAAGAATGTGAAATTCACAAAATACTCCTGTCCGTCCCTGGGTGGGCTCGAACCACCAACCTTTCGGTTAACAGCCGAACGCGCTAACCGATTGCGCCACAGAGACAGATGGTGCTTAGGGCTGCTGTCAAGTCAGTTCACTAAAGGATATATTGGTTGCCTATAGCTGCCAAAAATTGTGGTTGAAATTGAAATCGAAACTGGAGGTATCCTGCCGTGAACACAGTAACGGAGGCCACCAGCGCCTACTTCGATAAGGAACGGGTCCGGGTTCTACGCACTGAGGTTGAGAATAGAGGAGCACAAGAGAATGAACGAACCAAGAGCCTTTGGGAAATCCAGAATCGATACTCTCTGAGTTTGGAAATTCAGTTAGTTTTGCTCAGAAACGTTGCTGGTCTACATAATTTACGTAAGCAACTGTGCGTGCGTAAGTACTGATTCATTAAGTCATTATTTTTTACATAACCACTACGTTCCCAGGCAAGTCTGGCAAAGAGTACTAAGGGTTCTTACAACAAAACAAATCACACACAGCCTGCTGGCACATGAGTCTCCCAAGCAAAACGGGAAATTTAAAAATTCGTGTAAGTCAACGACATTAACGATGACACATCTGCAAACGAATACCAAAGGGCACAGTTCCCTTATTCTTCTGCCTTCAGCTTAATGGTCCTCATCAGGGTTGGGGTCTAATGAGTCGTTTTTTTTTTTCTGTGTCGCACAGGTCTCAGGACTTCCCCTGGGGCCCCCACACGCTAGTATCTCCTTGTGACTGTTTCTATATCATCTTCCACTGATTCTGAGACTCGGTGTAAGTGCAGGTCAATAATTTCAAAGATTTCATACGAACATAGATACCTATTGCAGAAATTATACATGCATATATTTTACATGCACATATGTTTTGTGATATATATATATATCACATATGTAGGTTACTACGTATTGTATGTATGTATGTTACCACATGACCGTTCCATTGAAATGGTTTCTGCACTTTGTGGAGGTTTGAATGAGAATGGCCCCCATAGGATCATATATTTGAATGCTTGATTCCAATTGGTGGAACTGTTTGGGACGAATTAAGGTATGTGGCCTCGTTGGAGGAGGCGTGTCACTGGGTTCGAGTTTTCCCAGTTAGCTTTCTCTGGATTTTGTTTGTGAATCCAAATGTTAGTTCCCAGCTGTTGTTCCAGCGCCATACCATGCCAAGGCAACATACCAGGAACACAGTATACCCCACGACTTAATTACACACTGCACTGCTTCATTAAGTCTTAACCTAAATATGGGTGTCATTCCAATAAATGGTTCTCATATAGTAGAGATAATACTAAGCCTTCGTACAATATTTTAAAGGCCAAACATTGAAGGAGTAAATCCCAGAAAGGAGAACCATATGAGGGACAGTCAATTCTGAAAAACAAAACAAAACAAAACAAAGCCTCCTCTCAAACCCTTGCCTCCCTGAACAGGACACAAGCTAAGGAGAAATTCTAGCCTGGCCAAGGTGTAGGTGAAAGACGGGAGAGCATCAAGCAGATATTCCAAGTGTTATCACCCAGACGACGGGAAAACACTGGAAACGGCATAGATGCAGCTTAACACAATGAAGTAATCAAAACGAACGCGATTGGAAACCTGTTTGACTATACAAACCACATTCTTAAAAGGGACTGTGCTTCGCAGGACTTTGATACTGCAAAGGGTCTCGTGGATCCAATGTATGAATGCAGATAACAAAGTCTTGCCGAAACAATCAAATCATTGCCCCCAAAGCAGCTTTTCCATAGTAATGTAAAACAACCAACATTAAAACAAAAGGCAGGCCTCCCGTTCTTCACTCAGACCACGCTCCCTCCTTCTGTGCTAGGTTCAGGCAGGACATCTCTGTTATTCTGTGTCGTCACGTGCAGGATGGGTGGCTGTTCGCCAAATCTACGCACCTGCAGTGTGACAGTGGAAGGGAGCTCGGCCTTGAAAACTTGGTCTGACCTCGGCTGCATCATAGGTAGGAATCATCGTGGTGCCGCGTGTTTGAGGAAGTGTGAAATTGTCTAAGCTGTAGATACAGGCAGGGGTAAGTACCTTCACTTACTGAATAGTCGCTGCCCATTTCCCACTAATTTGGTTACAGAAAGAGACAGGGTCTTGACATTAAAGAGTTGAGTTTTTAAAAGTGATTATCCCTCTTTAGCATAGCAGGAAGACTGATCAAAGATAGAAAGGATATTTAAAAAAAGAAAAGCTAGTCTCCCCGTCGGGGAATCGAACCCCGGTCTCCCGCGTGACAGGCGGGGATACTCACCACTATACTAACGAGGACAACCGCGAGAGCAGTGAGGAAGTGGCTGCTCAAGAAAGGCATTTTTAAGTGATTCCCTCGCTCCTAGAACTTAGTAAAATTTTATTTTATCTAGATCGGGATTCTAACAAAGACAATGTGGAAAATTCATGTACCTGCCAATTTCTAAGAGCCAGATTCAACAGTAGAAACAGGTTCCTCGTTAGTATCAGTGGATCACAAAACAAAACAAAAGACACGGAAGTCGAAAAGGGGTTGAAGGGAGAAAGGAGGAACCACAAGAGAGGGAAATAAAAGAGGACGGACACGAGGTGAACTTAAACAAGTCATTGTCTATGTGTAAAATGATGAAAGAACACATTTAACAATAAAAAACTCGATAAGTTTAACAAATCCTATTAATCATTTAATAAATCCCCAGACATCCAAAATATTATTTCGACATGTAATCAATACAAAAAATTAGATTATAAATTTCTTAGTCTTCAAAGTCTGGAATGTATTTTACACTCAAAGTTTAATAGGAAGAACAAATAGTACTATATAGATGTCATAAATAAAAAATAAAAAATACACACGTCTTTTCCTTGCTTCCAAGGTCTTCAGTAGTCGAAATGAGCAGCCGTTTAGATTTTTTTCCACTTAGTTAAGCTCCATTGATTACTTATTTCGATTAATTCAATTAAAATAAAAATTGTAAATACGATTCTTATACGCACGATCCAGTTTCGAAACGCTCAGGAACTCACGCCTACTGTGTGATCCTCTCGAATACCGAAGCCTGTATGAGATTCTAACAAGAGATCTCAGACTCCAGAAGATTCCCAAAACAGAAAAGGTGAAACACCTTCAATAACCTAATCCGGGCCCAACTTGGCGCTGGTTTCATTCAACGATATAAAATAGAAACCTGTGTGAACTTTGACTTATGCAAGTGGGAAAGAAAACAAAATGCGTTGGCCGGGAATCGAACCCGGGTCAACTGCTTGGAAGGCAGCTATGCTCACCACTATACCACCAACGCACCACGGCTACCGGTTTCCTCTAGCCTCCATAATACAAGTGAAAAAAATCTGTCGACGGCGTTCTAAGTTTGTTTCCTACCAGGTTCGGCTAGGCAATTTAGGAAGGAAGGTGGCAGGTAGGAAATCCTCCCTGGTCTGACTCGGTCCTCTGGACAAGAGGAGCCCGAAAGGTCCTCAGAAGAGATGGAAAGCTTAAAGTGAAGAAAAAGTAGGAGATAGGAAAGACCTGTCACCCACTTTCACTTCTCCTGCTTTGTAACGCATTCCGGAAGAGTTCGCGTTTCTTTGAAGTCATAGGCAAACAAAAGCAAGTGAGAGCTGCTGCAACAGTGTTGATAAGCTTATAAGAAATTATGGAAAGTACTTTCCTGTGTCAGGATGGCCGAGCGGTCTAAGGCGCTGCGTTCAGGTCGCAGTCTCCCCTGGAGGCGTGGGTTCGAATCCCACTTCTGACAGTACTTATTTTTTTCTTTCTGTGAAAAAACCCTAACACCGGCATTTATGGTGTGTGTTTTGGAAAAAAAAGAGGTCATAATCCTAACACAGGCATATATGGTTCATGTTATTGAGAAAAGGGTACTAAGACAAATTCCTTAATCCATTATCTTTTAATTTTAGGAGAGACATACATAACAAAACAGATGTTAGACATGTCAGAAAATTCTTAAAAGAAACATGAGCCAAGCATTAAAAGTAGCATCACCTCTGATTGGTCACACTGACAGACAGATGTACATGTACCCAGTGCATAATGTGATGGCTTGAGTACTTTCATTTCTGTGTTATTCTCCACAAAAGTGTTAATCATGCCAAGAAAAAAGTCAGCGTTCCCCCAGAAGACTCAAGTTATTAAAGGAAAACCACAGCATCAAGGGCAGACTCCCTCTGTACGAGTTATTAGTCAGAGAAGTTCCAGAGGCCATTGTCACCCGACTTGGTTGCCCACCATGCTGTATGTGCTGAAGACACAACATACTACAGCTTCTGGACATAGACAAATAAACCTTGAACTAGCCAGAAGTTTCCTCCCTGGTGGCTAGTGTCCATGTTGTTCAGGCCACAAGAACACACAAGACGCACATGCATACACAATTAAAATAAGCTTTGTTTTCAAAGTGATGTGCCCACTGGCGCAATAATGACATGAAAGTCATGGGGGTGACAACCACTTTTAGATTGGATTTGAGAGGCCTTCTATCAGGAAATGTGTTCTTGGTACTGTAAACCAGGTTAAAGCTCATGACCTAGGGTTTTAAGTCCCTCAGAGGACCTACTACTGTTATTTACTAATGGATGTGTCAAACTGCCTTCTGAGTAATTTGCTTATACACACAGATTAGAACTGCTCTCATCTTCACAGAGATGCTAATGTCTGCAATGGGCAACTGCTAATGCAGAGACTCAAAACTGGTCAAAATACAGAAAGTACACGACTGTGGGGTGTTCAGCCCAAAATTAAACATCTATATCAGCCTCCCAAGATGCAGGGAAGAGGGAGCAGAAAGAATGTGCGAGCTGGAGGACGGGAAGGAGAGCTGTGGAACGTTGTCTTCTGGTCGTGACATGTCTGAGCTCTCATGAACTCACAGCAGCTGTGGGTACCTGAACAAGATCAAGTCGACTACAACGGTCAAGGTTCCCGCAGACTGTGCTAACGGGACTCAGTGAGACAGGATGAAAGGAGAAGACCTGAAGACCGGAGTGGGTGGGTGCCAGGGATGCGGAAGGGAGAAGGAGAAGTAGGAGGAGTAGGAGGAGTCTTCAGAAGGATACATTGTGTGCTTGTAGGAAACTGTCAAAAGATAAATAAAAGCTGTTTAAAAAATAAGAGACATGTGGGTGGCAATAATTAAAATGCCCTCTATAGGTATGTGAAATTGTCTATTTGTTTGTTTGTTTGTTTGTTCGCAGAATCTCACTCTATAGCTCTGGCTGGCCTAGAACTTGCTAGGTAGACCAGGCTGACGTCAAAACCGCAGGATCCTCCCCTCTGCCTCTTGAGTGCTACATGTCCTGTAAAAGAACAAATTTAATAGAAATATTTTTAGATTGGACACTCAGGGCTGGAGACCCGGCTCAGCGGTGAAGAGCACTTGCGCTTGTCCCAGACGACCTAAGTTTGGTTGTTGGTAGTCAGTACCCGTATCAGACAGCTCACTACCAACTGTAATTCCAGCTCTAGGAATCCAGCAGTACCCTTTTCTGGCCTCCGCATAATAAAAATAACATTTTTAAAAATAAAATCACAAATCAAAATTAAGAGATCATTTATAAAATACCTGACCTATCTTTAAAAATGTCAAGCTCATGAAAAACAATGTGAAACTATTACAGAGTGTATATCGTTTAGGAAGCCCGATAAGTCGGTGTAATGTGATATCCGACATCAACCTTCTGAAACAGAAAAAGGACTCATTAGTAGGAAATGTGAAACCTGAATAAAGTCAACAGCTCAATTAGTAGTTTTCCAATGATATTTTTCTGAAGTTTGGTAAGTTGGTTATAGAACATCTTAACATTAGGAGGAGTTGGCTGGCAGAGATATGCAGTAATTTTTCAGGATATCTTTGCAATTCCTCTATTAATGTAAAATTACTGCAAAACAAAACCAAAAAAAAAACCTTTAAAGTAATTGCCTATGAAGAATTGATAGCAGGGCAAGAATTACCCATAGCAGTATTTGATTTCTTAATAATGGGTGTGTATGCTGATTTAATTTGTTTTAGTTGCTTAGAGGAATGAGTAAACATAGTTGTGATTACAATAATCAAGGTCAAGCTGTGAGAGCGGAGGAAACCCCAAGCGATTGACGTCCTGAGTGAATGTGTGCGGTTGACATGAATGCAGCCTTCCTCTGGCCTGAGCATGGATGTTGACCGTGTGTGCAGACAAGGCCCACCATAACTCTCTCCCCCTGGATGTTTAAGGCCTGAGACTGCTCCCTATAGAGACTGCTGCTAGTGAGATTTAGCTAAGTCTGCCTCCTCATTAAGCTGTACCAATGACCTCACTCACTGTTTAACTGTACATAACAAACACATGGAGCTACCCAGGTGCTGTGGTTTCTCCATCCTAATCCACTTGACCCTAGCTTTTCTAAGTGCCCATAGGTTCGTATGTATTTGTCTTTCCTTCATTCCCTTGTTGCCTCCTGACAGGTCAGTTCCTAAGGCTGTGCAAACACCCTAAGACTGTATCATACAGCCAAAGGGTCTGTAATGGCCAATTATATAAGAAACACTTTTCAAACAAACTAAATGGTCAGCAATGGCCACTTAAAAATAGATGCAGAACTTAATTTGTCAAAATCTTGGTATAGAAAATTAATACTAATATTGGAGGATCTGGGGTGTTTTTACAACAAATATATATGTTTTCCAATATTAAAAGAGAAAGGTATGCTGTTGAATGCTAAGAAGTCTGAAATCCTGCATCATTGTTCCTTTTTGGAAGAACAAGTTGAAGTAGTTAATGTTATAAGTTAAAAAGAAAGGAAGGGGGTTGCTCTATACAATTCTCTTTCTTGGCCTGCCCTCAATGCTTTTTTTTTATTTTTTATTTTATTTATTTTATTTTTTGGTTTTTCGAGACAGGGTTTCTTTGTGGCTTTGGAGGCTGTCCTGGAACCAGCTCTTATAGACCAGGCTGATCTCAAACTCACAAAGATCTGCCTGCCTCTGCCTCCCGAGTGCTGGTATTAAAGGCGTGCGCCACCAACGCCCGGCTCAATGCTTTTTTTTTTTTAAAGTTGCTTTTAATGCAAAGCCAGATTGCAAAGCATGTGAATCAAATTCAGAAACAACACAGTTAAAAATGAAGTCCAGGGACAAATGACTTGTTAGTGTAACCTCCTCTTTACCAGAAAGAGATTACCCAACTCAATACAAAGAAGCATTGCTCCAGGCAAGCTCACGTTCCTTTCTGAGGCTGAAGCATCCCACAGCTCCTGAGACAGAGGTGGAATGGACTGAACAGGCAATGAAACCAGGCAAGCTTATCCTTGTCATTTGCTGAGCTGGACGGTATTTTCCCAGTTTCAGTCACTTGAGAATGGGTCTTTAAGTTGAGCTGTCCCTCTCTGTTCTTGTAATAATTATATGGCCTTGAACAACCTGTTTGACCTCTTTGTACTTTAGAATATTCATCTTTACTCTCTGAGAAGCAGATGGGGGGGGGAGAGGGGGGAGCAGGAGGAGAAGCGGAAGGGGGAACTGGGATTTGAATGTAAAAAATAAGTTAATAAAAAAGATTAAAAAAGAATATCCATCTTTAAATAAGAGGAGAGCAAGATGGCTCAGAACATAAACCTGGTGACCCAAGTTCTATCTTAAACGCTACCTAAAGGTGGAAGTCGAGAACCAACTCCATCAAATTGTCCTCTGACTTCCACACTTGTGCCCACGGTACTTGCTACTGGATTGGTTGGGTGTCCCAAATATCCTAACTAGTAACAACTTATGCTTGTCAGCAGTGTGCTAAATGTCTAACACTCTTCTCCACCTCTTACATCTCCTGATCCCTCAAACAATACAGAGAAGTGCTACTGCCATATTCCCGCTATGTGGAAGGGGATTTTGAAGTGTGGAGAGTTTAATTTGCACAGTAGTTTATGGAGGAGCTGGAACACTAAGCAGACTGGTATGTTGATGTTACTATCCTCCTACTCCGCTCCTAACCTCATCCGAAACCAGAGACCATGCTCTTTCTCTCACAGAGACAGGACCACCCTAAGTTTTTTTTGTTTGTTTGTTTTTGTTTTTCGAGACAGGGTTTCTCTGTATTGTTTTGGAGGCTGTCCTGGAACTCACTCTGTAGACCAGGCTGGCCTCGAACTCACAGAGATCCGCCTGCCTCTGCCTCCCCAGTGCTGGGATTAAAGGCGGGCGCCACCAATGCCCCGCCCACCCGAAGTTTGATTACCTCCCCAGACCAACTCTCTCCTACCTACAGACTTAGGCGGTCTTACTCCAAAAGAACAATTAAATGACCTGATTAAACTAAGCATGTGAGTGGGCCCAGCCCGGTGACCCATGCCTTTAATCCAAGCTCTGGAGAAGGCAGGAGGATCTATGTGAGTTAGAGACAAGCCTGGTTTATACGGTGAGTTCTAGGCCAGTCAAGGAATCATAGTGAAACCCTATCTCAAAAAACACCAAAGCAAGCAAACAAACAAACAAACCAAACAATAATGTAAACTATTTATTAGTGCAGTAATGCTGACAAACTAAATTTCCAGCATATAATTTTACCTTAGGGTCCCATATGAAAATCATATCTGAGTCAGGCATTGGTGGCATATGCCTTTAATCCCAGCACTCGGGAGGCAGAGGCAGGCGGATCTCTGTAAGTTCGAGGCCAGCCTGGTCTACAGAGCAAGTTTCAGGACAGCCTCCAAAACAATACAGAGAAACCCTGTCTCAAAAAAACCAAAAAGAAAAAAAAATAAGTAAAAATACAAACTAATTTTAAAGAAAGATATCTTGTATATAGTCTTGTTGATTTCCTTCACAACCTCCTTCAACATTTGCTTCTGCTGCAAAAATGCTTCTGAAAACTTGTCACATGCCATCTGTATTAGCTCCACATATGTCGTGGACTGGTGTTTGTAGGGCTGCAGATCAAGCCCCGGGTCCGCTACTGCGTGGGGGAGTATGAATAAGGGAAAGGCTAGCGATAGACGTTAAAGGAAAGATGGAGACATAAAATAGTGTCAGGAAAGCAGTTTCAGTCAATACTGAATGCGCCTCAGTTTATTCATACACCAACCAAAGGTGGGACAATGGCAGAAGACTTCTATTGTCGTGTATAAAGGGCAGATAGCAATTACTTCCTTTAGTCCTAAAGACACTCCTTAGCTGCACCCACTGCTCGGCCATCAGGCCATCACAGCTGCTTGTATCATCTAGCCTTCAGGGTGAGAGTAAACTCGCCTGAGCCCAAGTCTGTTGTTATTTAGATAGGAGTCATTCACCACCGAGGCCAGGGCATCCTGTAGCCCTTAAGCTAATGTCTTAGAGACCATAGGAGTGATTTGAGCTCTCTGAACTCAAGGCAAGATGGAATGGACTTCCTTATACGGTCCTAACAAAAACTGAGCCTGATCATGTACTTAACTGGTTGGAATAAAAACAAAGTAGGATTTTTTAAAAAGTTTATTAGATCTACAACTATATTGCACATAAAAATTCAATTCATGCAACTGCAAGTTAAATGAAATATAGATGAAGACAGTGGCAAAATGCCACACAAACGGTCATG